CTCTTAACTACTGAGCCAACTCTCCAGCCCCACTATGAATATTAACTTTCCAGTAAATCTGAAATTCTTTATCTTACAGCTCATATCTAATAAAAACATTCTTACAGATAAAATGGTTTTTGTTTTTGAAGAATCCCCTTTCATTCTCTGAGATTCCCTTCAGTTTTTTCAAACAAGTGCAATTGCAAGATGAAGCCCAGATGTGAACATGGGGCCTAATTTTCACTTTGCCCTGCCTCTTTCCAACAGTCCCCCAAATGTCTCCATATAAAACCAAATTGGAATTCTGTGGGATAATCTCGGCATAGTCACAACTTCTTAAACACAAAAAAATCTCAACTTTCTCTGAAACAACCTGTGCGATGTGATCCCATAGGCTGTGTATCTGGATGTGACAGTTCTGCACAATCTAGAAGCGGTAAATTGTCAGATGAACATTCACAGAATAACTCAAATTCCACTGTGAAATGAATCTGAGGAGTCCTTGGTGGTGAACATCCAGGCTGCACTGCATAGCTTCACTGTAGCCATGGCTCTGGACACATGGAACTTCACAGTACACATGTCATCATGCCACACAGTTCCACTAACTGCTACTCTAGAACTGCAGCTCAGCTTTAAGAACACACTATTTCCTGAACCAAAGTGTTTTTGCACAGATACACAGTGTCCTGCTTTCACAGAAACACCATGGGTCAATTATGTAAAACAAAGACTTCTAGTGTTTTCCTAGTATTGTTCCTCAGTGAGTAAGTACAAGATGGATGTATCTTTGAATAGTGTTGTGTTACAAAGCTTGATTTTTAAGTTGATGTTTGAGTTGGGATTAGGTTAGCATGGTCAATAATTTCTGAAATGTTTCTGAACACCTTTGCGTCACTTTATGCATATGTATTTATGCAAAGAGGAATCTCATCAATGACAACTATAAAATCAAAACACTGATCAACTCCGAAGAACTTAAACTATGTCTACATCTTATAGTATTAAATATTCAGGTAAGATTTGTTTATTATAAAAACAATTTAGCTCATAAGGCTCATTAATATGTAGATTTGCTAACATTACAGGTCTATAAAATATTGCTTTAAAATGATTTATTATCACTAATATTTTATATAAATCTATTTTATATATTTACATACTATGGGGAATACTGTCTTCATTGTCCTTAAGTCCCTGCTCTAGATTACAGATTATATCACCTGTGTTTGGTGGCTTGTCCTCACTCCCACTCCAAAACCTAGGAAGACATCGTGCAGACTGTGACTTCCCTTGACGTGGAGTGCTGAAGGTACTTGCAGAATTCCTACTAGAACAATCGCTGTTCATCCATGCAACTACACAGATATTGGATGTAATAGTATTGTTTACTCTAAGCTAGATTTCCAAGGACATTTTGCCTTAATAAGGCTCTGGTGAATTCTGTTTGGAAGCTTGTCTCTTCATGCATCATTGTTAACCAAGTAAATAGATTCAATCATAAAATTCTAGTTTTCCAAACAGTTACAGGAATTAAAGTTAGCATTGTAGAGATCCTTAGGGAATACAGAAAGTGTCTTGTATGAACATTAATTGTGTATACCGTCAGGAAAAAAAAAACAACAAAAAAAAAACCAAACACTTCTAAGAGTGCCATGTGGAATCCAGGGACAGGTCCTTCCACATTGGCAGTGCTACCAGAATAGGATGATCTGAGCCTTCTGATTTAGATGAAATGGAGCGATAACACCAGGAAATCTGTGAGGTCAAGTTCACTTACTGAGCACATGTAGCTAGAGATCTAACTATGCACCCATGGCGCTGACCATGCCCATTTGGGTGTGGTCACAGGGTATATGGGAGGGGAGGATTTATGCTGGCTCTTTTATTGCTGGCTGAGTCACAGGAAACAGCTTGGGAGGATCCTTGGAGCTGGAACCTGTGGCAGCCTCTTTGTAAGTGTAATCTCTCCCCAAATAAACCCCATTTAACCTGTACTGAGCCTAGTGTATATGGATTCCCACTCGACAAGGACAGACTCATGAAAACAGAGGCAGTGCACATAACCAGTAAGCACAGACAGGAGAGGGAAACCCACAGGAGACTGCACTGTGCATGGATAAAGGATACTGCCCAAGCCTTCCTGTGGCACTGCGCTCAGTGTTTGAGAAAAGGTTTTCCTTAGCTCTGTGCCATGAAAGCCTAGAGAATCTTAGAAGGGAAAACTGAAAATATGGCAGATAAACAAGATGTGCCCTCCTTGGTTCAATGATTTAGAGATTTTTCTTCCATCTTGGAAGGGAGACATGGGGGTGGCAAGTTGGCATCGATTCAGAATCAAATGGCTACTAGGAAGTGTAGGGAGAAATCCTGTTTAGAGGTACTGCTGACAATGCCTGCTTGGGAATGTCCACAGGTGCGCTGAACATGCCCACTTGGGCGTGGTCAGAGTGATGTATCAAGGGTTTAAGTAAGAGGGAGGCAGGCATGACGGTCCTTTTTCTCTCTTCCGCCTGGCTGAGCAGACAAGGAGGCAGTTTGTGGGTTACTCTGGCTATGGTGAGAACCTGATTACTGGCTCACTTGTGTGAGTACTATTACTTAATAAACTACCTGTTATCAATCTAGTTCTGACTCCATATTGTGATCGGCTTTCAGGAGGTGAGAAGCCAGGGTTTTTCTGCTAATCTCCCTCAAAGACAAAAAAAAAAAGTCTAAAATGCTGGGTGAAGCAGTTTGTGTTGTATATAAAGTTGATCACATTCTGAGGGACAGAGTCATGCTTCAGAAATAAGTCTATTTAAAAACACATGACAAACCTCATCTCCAGAAATGTAGCAAGGAAAACTGAGCACAGTGCCTGCACTGGGGAGGCAGAGGGAGAAGAAGGAGTTCAAGGTCAGCTTATGTGACATGAGACCTTGTCAGAAAAAATAAACTGTACACCAAGGAAACGAAACCTAGAGAGAAATCCCTGTGCCCCATACATAATGCCAATCAACCAGCATCCAGGCAGGCTGTTTGTTTCTCTTTCTCATAACAGCAGAGACTAGAGACTATTCCAAGAAGGGGCAAGTAAAGAAGAGGATCCATTCAAACAGGAGGAGAATGTGACCCACAAAAAAAATGAAATGAAAACCACCCAGAGTAAAACTGAACAAACCAAGACTAGAAATGTCACCGGCTGCATGACTGTTCCTGTCACCACCCTGCCTTTGAGGCATCTCTTGTCATCCCTGTGTTGCAGAGAGAGCATGACAACCTGGTGATTGAAGTCAAGTTCTTGTCCTGGCACTGGGTTGCTACGTTCTACTACAACAGTGGCCTGTGTCCTTGGGGTCTCAACGCGGTTGCACAGACTCAAGTCTGGCCATGTTTCTACTCAGAACCTCATTCCCCACCCTAACCCCACTCCACACTCCCTGTGTCCCACACCCCCCCTTATAGAGGTGGCTAGATGCACCTTAATACCCATGCTCTATTCTTCCTTCTTCCTCTGTGTCTTCTTCCTCTGCTGGAATGGAACAGAGGATAGCATATCCACTTACTTAAAGGCAGGTCATGAGAACTCTATCTTTCCATGGGTCATCTGTGCGGAGGTGGCTTGTGGGCCACAGAATGGCCCATCCATCTGAGTTGCTGAGGCTCTCTGGTGCCCTACAGTGGGCAGCCCCAATCTGTGTCTTCTGATGCTTACAGCTGTCTTCACCACACAGTGTTGTGATTCAGAAGGAACACATCTGACATCTCTTTGCTCCTAACCTCTTTTCTCTTCCATGACCTTGTGATGGTCTGCCCTAGGAATCCTGAAATCTTAGGGCAGTCCTAGATTGCCAGGACTGACTGTCGTCACCCCCCCTGTGGTCTGGAAACACAAGGCAAGACACCAGCTCACATGTGAATCCCAGAAAGATGGGCCTCCTATAAATACCACGGCTCTTCCAACCCATCTTTCCCAAGGGAGGTTTCTGTCATTTTCTATGTTCCTGTGAAAATGATCATGAAACCACTGAAGAGACTATCAAGATATAGTTCTATCAAAAATAGATCCTTTTAGAATTGGTCCTAGTACTCACGAACTCATTTTGTAGTGGGTATGAAAATTGTTATCTGTATGATGTGTTCTCTGGGACTGTGGGAAGTACCTATCTGGCATATAACATAAATCACATAAAAGTGTAATGCTGGTATCTGAGGTTTCCATAACACCTATAAGGAGGGTCTTAGTCAGCCCTTAGTCTCTTTAGCCCTCTAGAAAAACTTCCAAGGCCAGACAAGCCTGACTGACAGAGGGATGCTCTGAGTGGCTCTGGACCAGCCTGTCTGATGGAGGGATGTTCTGAGTGGATCTGGACAAGCATGACCGATGGAGGGATGCTCTGACTGGCTCAGGACAAGACTGTCTGATGGAGGGATGCTGGGAGTGTCTCAGGACAAGTCTGTCTGATGGAGGGATGCTCTGACTGGGTTGGGCCCAGGAAACGATAGAGAAGTGACAGGAGCAGGAGATGGCAATTGGAGGGTAGAGGGGTTCCCAAGCAGGTGATGAACAGATGCATGTGACAGGGCAGTAAGTACAAAAGCCTCTTAATAGCGAGCTCCCATTGTCTCTGAAAGTCTCTACCACCACTCCTTTCTTCCAAAGGGTCATAATTTTGAGCTGCTCCCTCATCCATCATGCCTCAGTGGAACCATATTTGTCTTCTTCATTTCCAATCCTGCCACAGCCTGTTAACACTTTTACCAACCTATTATCTCCTCCACTGAGGGTGAGTCACAGTCCTTTCCATTTGAGGACCTGTAACTGGTGCCCCACTTCCTCCATCATCCTTCATGTGTGAAGATCCAGGCTTTCAGGGAAAACATTAAAAATGCTTTGGCCATCATCATCACTCATTCTCCATTAGCTCTGATGGCACAGGGCTCACAGTGGACCAAACATAATTTTCCTCCTGTGTTGGCAAGGGCTGTGATCTCTGCAAGCTTTCAGCTTTCCACAGAGCTCACCATAGACCCAATTATTGCCCAAAGCACCTTTCCAGCCTGTCCCTCCTCCTGCCTCGACTGTAGCTGATGGCATCATGATTATCCCTGTAAACAGGTCCAAGAGCACTATCTGTTAACACCAACACCTCCTTTTCAGTGTCCTCTAGCTCATAGCAGCAGGTCTCAGGAGACGGACAAGCAAACAGGGTGTCCACATACATGTTTGTCTATAAAACCAGAACACTGGTTTCACATTAAAGTATTATAAAGTTTTCCAGTTGACATCTACTCTTTGCTGTCAGCACAGTGGTGTCCTTGCAAAAAGGATACAGAGCTCCCAGGCCACAGTTCAGCCTGGTCGTCTAGGACTCAGAGGCAAAGCAGTTTCCCCAAGGTCACAGAGCCGCATAGTAGTGTGACAACCAGAGTTCAAGTGCTTGCTCTAGCATCCTTTTGATAAGAGCAATGGCACTCTACTTCCTGATGCTTAGCAACCAAATACAGGTTCTTTGAAAAAGCAATGAGGAACAATTTACAGTGAGGTTAGAACTACATGAGGTAGAGAGAATGAGAAGTGGAATAAAACCAGGAAATACATTACATGTAGTAGACAGGAACAGGTCCCGATTTCTTTAACATAGGAAATGTTTTAAATAAGTCTGGATAAAACACAATTATGGAGAAAGGGATGTCATATACAAAGATCAATTTCTGTGTTCTGGTTAAATAAAGACACTTCCAAGTTGGAAAAATTATTATAAATGATACAAATAGGACATATCACACACACACACACACACACACACACACACACACACACACAGAGAGAGAGAGAGAGAGAGAGAGAGAGAGAGAGAGAAAAAAAAAACTGGGAATGGTGACGCACATCTATAATCTTATATAATCTTAGCACTCAGAAGGCTGAGGATGAAAATCAAGGCTAGCAATGGGCTACATGGTGAGCCTTTATCTCTAGAGAAAAAAAAAGTTCCATAGGTACATATAAATAAAACCCTCAGAGATGAAGGACTAACCTTAATCCTCTTCCACTAGCTTTAAGTGGGTACATTGTAGATAGTATTTTTCTGGAAACCTCTGACTTTTGGATTTCTTCTTTTTTTTGAACTTGTGTTATTCCTCACTACAGAAAGCAGGCAACTTCCCTAACTGGACTTTAAATACTCATTCCAAAAACTCTAGAGCTATACTCTGCCCTCCCTTGGGTATAATCCCTATATGACAATGTGCTGCTCATATGTTTGTCTGGTGGGTGTGGTTCCTTAACCTATATATTAGTTACATCTGAATCTTTCTTTTAATGCCAACCCAGCTGGGAGTCATCTTTCTCTCTTTCCACTACAATCCCCTTTCTGTAACAATGAAAGCATGCTTTAGGAATGGGAATGACATCACTGGGAAAGGTTGAGGAAAAGGAATGACATCATTTGGAAGAGTTGAGGAATGGGAATGAGATTATTGGGATGGGTTGAGGAATAAGAATGACATCATTGGGAAGGGCTGAGGAATGGGAATGACATTACTGAGAAGGGTTAAGGAATGGGAATGACATCACTGGGAAGGGTTGAGGAACAGGAATGAGATCATTGGGAAGGGTGAGAAATGGGAATGACATCATTGAGAAGAGTTGAGGATCAGGAATGACATCATTGGGAAGGGATTGTTTGGCAATAGAGTAAATACAACCAGGATTGTTTTTCTAGTACCATTTTCCTAATTTTGGAATGACCTAAGTTTAGTTACAGATTCTTCAAATGCTTCAGTTGGGCACTTTAGAATCAAGCTAATTTTTCTTATTAAGGAGGGATCAGGTCACAACTCTACAATAAATCTTCATTACTGGTAGATTCGGGCCATTTGTCAAATTTTCCCACATGTGTGGGTCACAGTACGATGTTTGAGTTTCCAGAAAAACAACACAGTCATGAATGGTCCTATATTTAACAAAAAATGATATCCTTAATGTAAACATCTAACACTTTTATAAAACTAATTTCATTTAATTAATTTCATTACACATTTAATTTGAATATATGATAGAATGAAATATAAATGCTAGATCTGGCATTAGGGAGATTTCTAGAGATCTACGAGGATGACACCAACTGACAATCTAGGCAATGGTGGAGAGGCTACCTTAAATGCCCTTTCCCTATAATGAGACTGATGTCTGCATTATATGCCATTCTAGAGCCCTCATCCAGTGGCTGATGGAGGCAGAGACAGACACCCACAGGTATACACTGAACTGAAATCTGGAACCCAGTTGGATAGATGGAGGAATGAAGATCAAAGAGGTAGGAACAAGGCTGCTGAAACCCACAGAAACAGCTGACCTGAACATGGGGGAGCACATGGACCCTAGACTTATGTCTGGAAGCCAGATCCCTCAGCGTGGATGTCAATGAGGATGCCCTGGCCCTCTATGGGGCCCCTGGTAGTGGATTAGTATTTATCCCTGGCATAAGAAGGGACTTTGGTAGCCTATCCCACATGGAAGGATGCTCTCTCAGCCTGAACACATGGGGGAGGGTCTAGGCCCTGCCCAGGATGATATAACCGACTTTGGGGAACCCCCATGGAGGGCCTTACCCTCCCTGGGAAGCAGAAGGGGGATGAGGTGGAGGGGCTGGTGAGGGGTTGTGGGGGAGGGGAGGGAGAAGGGATTGACATGTGAAACAGCCTTGTTTCTAATTTGAACTAATAAAAATAATCTCTTGGGGAAAATATTAAAAATAATCCTTTACTGTGACTTAGAAGGGTAGAAGTATTTTTTTAATATCTAGGATGTATATTAATTACACGCAATTGAAGTGCACAGACATGTGTGTTTGTGTGTGTGTGTTCCTAGTATGTGAATATGTGAATCTCTCTAGGTATGAATAAAAGAGCTCATCTTCTTGTCTACTCAAGGGTGAATAGAAAAGAAGACATGGAAAAATGCAGGAAGGAAGAACAGAGATAAACCAAAATTCTTTCAACTTACAAAGGTTTTTGGTATTATCCCCACATCAGTGGCATGCTCTTAGAGTGCTTAAAGAATTGATTTAAAAAATGCTCAAAAGTTATCGATGTTGATTTACTTCCTTGGACATGCTTGCAGTCCATATTCTTGAGCAAGTTTCCATGTCTCATGTCTCACTGACTTCAAGTTAATTTGCTGTGACATCTCCAGCAATTAGCACACATAGAAAGCACTGTTCATACTTTTCCTGACATCTAATCATGCTGCTCAGGTCTCTGCCCATTTAAAATATGACTTAGATATCAGACCCCTACTAGCTGTGTGGAAATGACAAATACAATGTAGTGTGTGAGAGTTGTCACTATATTGTATTGTGTGACAAGTCTCATGAACTATGATGTGAGAATTCAGACCCTCTCTCCATCCCTTCTACTACCTCTGTTCTCTTTTAATGTTTCTTCAGCTGCTCTTCTTGTGATCTTGCCTGAGACTCTGAAGGAGCTGTGTGTATCCCTCCCATCTCTTCCAATCTTCAGGTGCTTGCTGATCTTCAAAGTACAGACACTTAAATGTCCTACCCTGGATCGGTACACCTGTTGGGATGCGAAGTTCACTTCAGTCACTGGACACTGTCAAGCTGACACTCCTTAGCCCTAATGCCTCAGGTTTGCTACACTGCAGGGAGCTGCATGGATGCTCAGATTCAAGCTCATTAGCTCCATAGGAAAAGGTAAAGGGCTGGCTTTCATCTGTTGATTTAAGGGGGTGAGTCCTAGACTTTGTACCTATAAGTTCCAGCATCACTTTAGCAAAACTTAAAATTTTTTTTACTTCATTATAAGAAAACTGTACAAACACCATGATAAAGAATGTGGGAACTATGATTTATGGCTTTCTGTGTAGAGGAGATTTAATTATGCCTTCTGCCCAATGGCCTATCCATTGTGTGAGCAAAGTCAATACCAATAATGAAATGTAGACTGAAGGGCTAAATCAATTCAATAAAATGCAATAGAAAGACTAGAGGACTGAGTAAATTTGGAAAGGCTAGTGCCTGCCAGATTAGTATTTGGACAACAGGTAATTACAAAAATCAATACCTGTATATGAAAACATGACAGGCAGCCATCCATCACAAAGGGGGGGAGTAATTACTAACAGTCTGGATTCTATGTAAGGATGAGAGGACAAAAGAAGCCCATGCAGAATTCTTATCAGACTTTACAATATTTGTATGTGCATATGTTCACAACCATATGCATAACTCCACATATGACTGCAGGAAAGGAGACAAGTTCCACCTCCTTTTCTAAGCTCAGAATTAAGTTCTGCCCTCAGTCCTATAGTACCCTAGTCTTTCTTCTAATCCAGCTCATGAGAACAGAGGACAGTCACCAGGGGGACCCAGAGTTAAGGATGGGAGCACCAATGGAGAGGAGGAGTTCCATTGATTATATAAACTGTCCTTCAAGTGCTAGCTGTTGGGAGAAAACTCTAAAAATTGAAAAGTAATACAGGCAGATCAGTGACAGCAATAAAAAGAATTATGTGTGCACATGTGTACATATGACATGCTCACACTTCCATACACTCACACACACACTGGCATATGCAGACATACACTAGAATATGCATACTTAATGTACATAGGCATACATACATATACACAAAGACATGCTCATGCATACATATGCTCACAAGCACACTGGCATATAACATACACATGTACCCATTGGCACATACATACAAGTTTTCATATTCAGACATGTACATACTTTCATAAGCTAAAACTGTAACTTAATGTCTTGTGTTCTTAGATATGAAAGTGTGGCTAAGTATGTTCACTCACTAACCCTTCTGTATAAGTCAACTTCTTTAATCCCACAAAGGCCCTACCAATACAGTTTCAGCAACACCATTTTCCATGAACATGTTTCTGCTTTTGTATTTTTCTTTCTGTTAAAATTTCTTTACATTAACACTTAATTCCATCATTTCCCTGCTCCTCATTCTTTCACTATTTTAAAGATAAGCAAAGAGGCTCCAGAAGATAACAGCTTCTGTTCCAGATGACAGGCTTCACTGCTGGCATGGGAAGCTTCCTTTATCTGATTTGATGGATATGTTGGTTCCCCTTCACTGCACAGTCTCTGTCCACCACAGGGTACTGAGGGCAATTCTAATATAGCTGCAAGCAAGTCTGAGATCTGTTGCCAGGTTGCATGGTAGCCAATAGGCCTCAAGGCTAGTCCACAGAGCATGTATGCAGAGCTAGTTAGACAAGCAAGTTGAGACTGCCCTGGGCCATGGTTGTTGTGCAACCTGACTGGAGGACTTCCTTTCCTGATGTTTGACTTCAGAAAGCTTAAAAGCTGTCACTTCCCCTCTTCCCTTGTCCCTCATTCAAACGATGTGACAGAAAGCTCACATTTCCCCTTTGACAGGGTTTCAAACCAGAGGAGGTCCAGTCTGTAGGCATGAACTCACTGCCCAAGCAGCCACAGGGCTGAACTGCTCTGTTCATCCCTGAAAGCCCCATCATGTGATCAACATGCCTTACTATGTGTTTTGGGGGTGTGACTGATGTCATAAAACCCAATATCAGCCCCAGATTTGGGGCAGAAACCCAGCCCACTTGGGACTGACACACCAAGTGCTCCTGAATCAGCATTTTGCCAACAGCAATAGGAGAAGCTTTCATGACCTTAGGAGACACTCAAAAGGTCTTCTCTTAGAATATTGTCAGTATATGATACCCTAATGAGTCTGCCCATTACCTTGCATGATAACTGGGCATGGAGGCAGTGTCAAAGATCAAAGCAGGGATCCTAAGATGGTTTCTACATGGAACATCTGTCATATGACTTTAATGTGATTTAGGTTACCTTAGCAGTAGGAACATTATTACACTTAAAATTTACCCTTGCTTAGCATTTAAGGTCAGATAATTCTATGCTGTGTGTGGCTGCCCTGCGCACTACAGGGTGCTCTGTGGCACTGCTGGTCTCTGCCCATATTTCACTACCACATCCCCTCCAATTGTGACAGTTCAAAACAGATCCAGTCACCAAGTCATAGCTTTCTGAGAACTACAAAGGAATGTGATTTTTCTGATGGTGGGCATGAACCAACTTCTTAAAGGAAAACCCGTCAGGCTATATGCATCCAAATATAAGCAAAGCCAAAATCCACACTAAATTGCAATGTCATCCTCACATCGTTTCCTTCCACTGTTAAAATTATTTGGACACATGCTCAAAGTTGCTTACATGCTGTGGAGATGACTCATTACAGTTTATAAAATCTTTTAAAAACTTGACTACTCAGCTCCTTGCATGCAAATGCTTGTCCTTTATCTGAAAAAAGAATTTGAGTGAGCTGCAGTGACCATGGTAATTTTCCAAAGATAAAACACACTACAGTGTAGTAAGCACCTTAGGGTACTCCAAGAGCATGTAGCATTTTAACAACCATTTGTGTGATGGACACAGACAATAGGCTTTTTAATGGATCACATATATTCATATTATATCCACTGCTGCTTCTGTAAATGGCTCAGAACATTTGGGTACACAGCAAAGCCTACAGTGCTTATCCTACTAACAAGTTCTCAAAGACAGACAGGCCATCATGAATCCGGACAATAATTTGAGGAGATAACAGTGGATGCCTTGCATTTTTCAGTCTTGGGAGACAGATTATCCACAAAGACAGAATTAGGAAAAGTAAGACAAATCACAGCAGCCTGAGGCCCTGAAGACTCAACATGCATCGTCCCCCCATCCACAGTACTCAAACAGAACATGTGGATGCATGCACACACATGCAATTAATTATGTGACAAGCACCATGTCTCAGTCTCAAGGATGAATCTACAAGTCAACAGTGTAATTTTCATTTTGCCATATCCTTTTCTGTCAGAAAAGGAGTCTGCACATACCTAAGTACTTATGAACCCAATGCCACACACTTGATGGTGCTAGGAGCACTTACCTCTGCTTTAATTTTATTGTCTCCGAAACAGAGGTGTTGCAAGTAAGCTGCAGCATTGGACTGGACGGAAGGGAACTGATGCTGCAACATCTGTATCACTTCGGGCAGCTCTGGGTCTCTCCATCCAAACTCCCTGCATGAAAGGAGCAGGAGAACATGAGGGACAAAGCCCAGCACATACAATGCTCTCATAATACCCACTAAGTGTGCTTCACAGCCAAGACAACACTTCACAGTGACTGTGCTGGCTTCCTTGTGCACAGATGGGTCCAGTGCAGAAAGCATTTCTGATAAGGTCTGGGGTATCAGTTTTTTAATCTATCCACATCTGTATACATTCATACTCCATGAAAATTACATACATGTGATCTAAATGTTTCCACTGAAAATTTACAAAAGATTAGGAAGAGATAACTTACAATAAATACCTCCCCATTTTTAAGTGGGTAGAGGACACATGATTCTAATATATGATTTCAAAAGTCTGGCATATGATATTCACTGACATTATCAGATGAGGAAAACAATGGTACAATCTAATATTCCACAAGAGCAGGTGGGCATACTGGTACTACTCTTTTACTATGTTATTTTCAGAGCCTTTTAAGAGACAACACAAAACAAAGAGAGAGTAGACTCCTCTAATGATCTGTGGTTGGAAGTGTAGCAGCATGATAACTTAAAAAAGCTAAATTATTTTTTTTTGAAGAGCTTTTCAATGCATGCTAGCAAACTTTGTGTCCTGTCTTCTTTTCTGTGGCCTCTTCCTTACTTTCAGGATATATGCTCCAAAAATATTTACATCTGCTTTAAATGTCATTGTTTGTGTTGTTCATAAGAATGTTAATCTATTAAATTTCTCATCTCCCTCAGGTAGACCTCGTGACCAGTGGGGTGAACTCTGTGGGTCCTCGGGTAGACCATGTGGCCAGTGGGGTGAACTCTGTGGGTCCTCGGGTAGACCATGTGGCCAGTGGGGTGAACTCTGTGGGTCCTCGGGTAGACCATGTGGCCAGTGGGGTGAACTCTGTGGGTCCTCGGGTAGACCATGTGGCCAGTGGGGTGAACTCTGTGGGTCCTCGGGTAGACCATGTGGCCAGTGGGGTGAACTCTATAGGTCCTGAGGTAGACCATGTGGCCAGTGGGGTGAACTCTGGGTCCTTGGGTAGACCATATGGCCAATGGGGCAAACTCTATGGGTTCTATTCTTAGAAATCAGAGAGCTGATATTTTAACAGAAAAATAAAAAGCAACTTCTGAGGCCACAGATAAAAACCTGACCTCAGAAGCTATAATGGGGACTGCTTATCTGAAAGATGGGCTTGAGGAGAAATGGGGTGACTTTGCAGCCATTTCTTCTCTTGGCGAACTGACTCAGAAGCATCCTTCCTATCGCCGCAGGTCAAAGCTGTTGCCCGAGTAGCGGACTTATGAAAAATGAGGCAGAGAAGGTAGAGACAGAGGTTAAAAGTTTCCTGGCAGACTCTAACCTCTCCTCTTTATCGCTCCTTTATCACAACTGGTAGAACTGATGAGCAAACCCTGAAGCATGTTGGCGCTAAAGACAAATGGAGTAGGAAGGCTTTTGAAGATGGTTTGTTTTTGTTGGGGGAGGTAAAACACTTGATTCCATGTGGAGGAAGTCTCCAATACACGTGCATCCTGCCTTATGCTGATAAATTTCCCAAAAGACATATACTTCACATATTTGCTGAAAATAGTTAAGTGATTGCTGGCCCCGAATCCTCCTCACCTATGTGATCACAGAAGAAAATAATTACGGGTCAAAGAATGAGAAGTTTGTTTTCCTGTTAATTTAATTTCCCATTGTTGCATGATTCCAAATCACCTCTGTAAATTAAAAAGAAAACAAACAAAAAACAAAAACACTGTCCTCATAGTAATAGCCCAGTAGAATTATATTCTTTATGTAAATGAAGCTGAAATCTACAGAGTACCCATAAATTAAACTTCCATGCAAAGACATTGTATCCCTAAAATGAATACAGGTAAATTTACACTTTTAGAAAGCAATCAGTAAGTAACTCATTCCAGCCTATTTTATAAGCCACCTAGTAATTGCTCTATTAGCCAATGGCTTATAGGGCATACATCAGAAACAGTCTTTTGAGCAAGAGCTCCAGGAAGGCAGGCTTGAACATCTGTGTGTTCATGCATCCATGCACACACACACACACACACACACACACACACACACACACACACACACACACACAGACACAGATGTGGCAGGTGAACATTCCAAGCTGTTCTTGGGCAGGTGAAAGGAAGGCTGCTGCAGCTCACTCCCGCATCCCCCATCCAAAAGCCTCTTTAATCACTTCCCACCTCAATGCTTTTCTAGAAATCTCAGTGTGAATCTGACTGCGCCTCTCTGGTTCAGACCCTCCAAAGATCCCACTCTCTTGGAAGAGGCTCAGAGATCACTCATGACCTTCTATACTCCCCGGGCTCTGTGCACTGATACGGTGGGCCACTGGCTGAGTGGATGCTCCCTGAGCCCATCTGTTGGAGTGAGATAATGAGTCCTACCTTAGCATACTGGTGGGATGGTTAGCAATAATAGTTACAGCTGGCACCCAGTGTGGGCCCTCTAGAAATGTCAGGGATTCCATATAACTAGATGAAGGGGAGAAGAATAAGAAATAAGAAGCATCTATAATTCCTAGAAGGTGAACTCATAACTCTCATATGTTACTGGGCTTTACCCTGAAAATGTTAATGGACTGGAGAATATGCAAATGTAACCTTTCCTCCATTAAAGCTTGTCACATAGACCAACAACATTGTGACTACACCCTCTCTCATGTATGACTGTCTGCATTGTTAAGATCACAAGGCTTGGTGCAGAGTTAAGTAGCTAGCAGTTGTGAAATTCCTTACTATGCCATACTGGCACCAAAATCAAAAGAGTTGGTGGGCCGTTACAACATTTCATCAAGTTCCCCAAGGAAAAGAACCCCAGGACACCCAGGACACCTCACAATTCATATTTACTTTTAGCAAAGGTTATTATCAGTGTGGACACTGTCCCTTTGACTGCAGCGTTTGGACCTAATGTAGGAAATCTCAACTGTGTGTGTGTGTGTGTGTGTGTGCTCGGGCACATGTGTGCACATATGTGTGTATGCATGCATTCCAGAGTGTGTTTATGTGTGTGTGTTGGGGTATGTGTATATATGTAAGTGTATGTATGTGTGTAAGCACATGGAAATAAGAAGTAGACATTAGGGGAACTCCTCCATCGCCCTGTTTTTCTGTGGCAGAGTATCTCACTGAACCACTGATTTTGGGAGGCTGGTTGGCCAACCACTTCACTGCCACTCTCACCCACAAGCTGTGAGATTACTGCAGCTTGATGATGAGCCTCAGCTCTAATGGGAGTACTTGGGATCCAAATTCAATTCCTTATACCTTCAGGGAAGGCACTTCCCCAACTAAACCATCTCTACTAGGCTCAAGATCATTATAAACTTTTGAACTCTAAATGTTTTAAAGACTAATTTTAATTTTCATATCCAAAGCCACGAGGTAGGATGTTTTGTTCTTTATTTCACTTTGTGTTGAAGAACTTGGGAGTGGTTCAGAGGTGATGGAATTAGAAAGTAGGCAGAAGGCTTTCATTAACAATAAAAAGGAGATATTTCCATTTTCACTAACCCAAAGTGAAGTTATCTGATGATATTCACATTAAAGAACTTATGTTGTCCACTTTATTCTTGAGTACTTTGCAATCCCAAACAAAACCTGCCCCAAACCTGTTAATTATATATTTTTTAAAATCTTTAATATAAGTAGTACTAGAATTAGGACCACATAGGAAGAAAGTGAATTGTTATAATTTTGTAGAAAGAAGTGACTTATTCACACTGTACAGTTTTAGTAAAAACAGATTCACTCAGCCATATCACAAGCATACATTTGCTTTGCCATGACTCCTTGGTTTAGCCTCATGCCTGAACAAGCCACCCACTCTACAGATATGTGCCTAGCTGTGGTGATATTTTGTTTATGGTCTAACAAACAAAGCTTGTCTGGAGATCAGAGTTCAAAGCTAGCCATACTAGTTAGCCATAGATGCCAGGAAGTGGTGACACACAATTTTAATCCCACCACTCAGGAGGCAGAGGTGGGCAGATCTCTGTGAGTTCAAGGCCACCCTGGGCTGCACGAGATTGAATCAGTCTAAAAGAAAAACAGAGCTCAGCAGTGGCTCACACCTTTAATCCCAGCACTAGGGAGATGGAAACAGGAGAGATATGGCTGGGTGGAGAGAGAATATAAGGTGGGAGGAGGCAGGTGCTCACAGCATTTAGTGTGAGGATTTGTAGGGATGGGATTGCCCCTTTCGTCTGATGATTCAGTAGAGGTAAGAACTAGTGGCTGGCTGCTCTGCTTCTCTGATCCTTCAGCTTTCACTCCCTAATATCTGGCTCTGGGTTTTTATTGATAAGACCAATTAGAATTCACACTACACCTAGCTCAAGAGGGAAATGACAAATGACCATGGCAATAGGAAAACACACACACACACACACACACACACACACAAATTAAAATATGTCTGATCTTGTGGTGGTCTGACTAGGTATGGCCCCCATAGCTTCATGTGTTTGTGTGCTTGGCACTATTGGGAGGTGTGGCCATGCTGGAGTAGGTGTGGTCTTGTTGGAGGAAGTGTGTCACTGTGGGGGCTGGCTTTGAGATATTGCCCAATGTGGCACACAGTCTCCTTCTGCTGTCTACTGGACTCTCAGCTCCTTCTCCAGCACCATGTTTGCCTGCATGCCCCCATGTCCTACCATGATGATAATGAACTAAACCTCTGAAACTGTAAGCCAGTCCCAGTGAAAGGTTTTTCTTTATAAGAGTTGCCTTGGTCATGGTGTCTCTTCACAGCAACAGAAACCCAAACTAAGGCAGATGGGTAAATGAAATGCAAGAATCCCCTTAGGAAATCAAGAGAGAAGGGTCTGTAACACTCTGTACCTGTCTCAGTGTTTATATAGGTCTCTGGTTAGAACATGTGGTGGTTTGAATGAGAATGGCCCCTGTTGGTTCATGCATGAGAATGCTTTGTCTCCTTAATGGAACTGTTTGGGAAAGATTAGG